GCTCAGAGGCACTCCGCGGCCACAACGAAAGGCTGTTTTGTGCGGGGAGAACCTGGCGGGCCTGGAACAGCTGGAGTGGACATTGGGGAGTGTGAACTCTTCGTCTAGAGTCAATTCCCACTTAACGCCCTCCTCCAAATAATTATGTAACACTGTTCATTACCGGCCTTGTTATTTTGCTGGCAATAAATGAGAGGAGAAATCCTGCTATTTTTATATGAACAAAGTACCTGGTGCCGATTCCCTGTGGTGGGCAAATTCCGCCACTTTCTCTCTGCTACTGATATCAGGAGGCACGAGCGGGCGGGGCTGGGGGTCTGCGGCCGGAACAGGGCCGATCAAAAGCCCATGTTAAAGCCGGTGGAATCAAAGGCTGGGGAGACCTGGGCCCCAGGCCCCAAACAGACTCTCTGGTGGAATCATTTAGCTCCAGGGGAGGCGTGCAGGGTCCCAAACATCTTCTTATTGCTCTTGGGGAAACTCGAGGCTGGCAGAGGCCCTCTCCATCAGGAGCAACCCTGCCCTTCGGCGATTTAAAGACAGCCTCAACATGTTCCTCAAGCCCCATGTGTGACACCCACCACGGGGTACCTTCCACAGATGGGCTTTTTCTCGCCTACGTTTTTCTTCAATCTGTTGGATTGATAAAGAAGAGAAAGGCTGAGGCTGCAGACACTTTTTTCCAAAATGTCTCCTTCACATAACGTTAGGGGATACAGGTTTTAGGACTGTGACTTCAGGACACAAAAGGGCGCCGTGGCTGGGCCACGACACAGTCACTTCAATCAGAAAACCCCGTGGGGCCCTGAGACGGGGTGCTGCGCCTGACCCCGCCCTTCCTGACGTGGGACTGCTGCAGGCTCAGGATCTCCGTCAGCCTCCATCTCCTGGTCCAAGGAAGGAGGGGACAACAGCACCAAAGTCACCACGTGGTTGTGCAGAGCAAAGTGAGAGCATTTAGCAAGATGCCAGGCACATATTACACACTCGATAAATGTCAGCTTTTTCTTTTTAAACTGGGCAGAAGTGACCCCGTACCTCTCCACTCCTTGACTGCAGCCACATCTCCTCCCACTGCTCTGCAGGTCACGGATCCCACTGCAACCAGAAGGCCCATCTACCCTGTAATTCCCACCTCTGATTCTCTTGGCCAAAAGATCTGAAATCTTAACTCAGGTTTCATTTGGGATAAAAGAGTCCTTTTTCAAACCCCCAACAGCGAGCTGAGGCCGGAAGCCTGGCTGGGCATGAGAGATGGAGGAAGAGCCCTGGGAGAGAGCAGGCACCACCGGTCAGGGAGGGTCGTCTCGGGGCAGGAGGTGCCCGAGGACAGTTCCCGAGAGCAAGTCCCCCCCTAGGGCTGTAAGACTTGATGGGGGCCCAGCAGCAAACGCCCATCAGCCAGGGCACTGTGGACACGTGGATGCCTCGGGTCCCTCGGGAACTGGAGGAAGGAGGCATTGGGATGGGAGAGAAGGGAAGAGAGGAGGGTGAGAAGCAGCACAGAGTGAGAGCCCATGTCGCTCTCTTATCTGTGGCCAGCCCCTCCTGGGCCAACTGGTTCCGAGCCTGGAACCCACCCTTCACACCTGACACCAGCCTGGGAGCTGTGGGGGCATCTAGCGGAGTCAACAACACACACTAATCCTAGAACGTTGGCTGACGTTTGTTTAGATTTCTCTTCCTTCTCCTTCCTCTCCCAATTCTTCTCCCCTCAGAATTTAATTAAATTTTAGCCACAAGTTTATTTCTGTAGGGTCAGAAAAATAATGGAATATTAAGGAATCTTTTGAGGGTCTGCCAGGGGTCAGATGCTTTCACATACAGCTGATTCTCATTATTTGTGGTAGTTGCGTTCGATAAAGTTGCCTTGAAAACTGAATTAGTGAAAACTATACCGTTAGCCCTGGGAGAAATTACAGAGTTACGGTCCTGCGAGGCTCTGGGCATGTTTTCATCAACAGACCAACACACAACCCTTCCTGGCCTCAGTTTCTTTGTCTGTATAGTGAGGAGACCAGAACCTGCTACCTAGGGCGATGGCGAAAGTCTTATTAAATAAAAGATCTATGACAGAGGCGCTAACCTGCTCCCGAGGGTGCAGCTGCCGCCCGAGAGAGTGTAGCCCCCATTCTCTCCTCCCAGCTCTCAGCTCTCATCAAAGAGCTGAACGGAAGGCTCTCTGGGTCTGCAGAGCGCTGGAGGGGGAGCGCTGGAGGGGCAGTCTGCTGACGTGAGGTCTGGCCAGGAGAGAGCTAATGGGAGGGGCTGTGGAGCTGGACCTGTTGCAAGGAGGTCAAGGTTGAGGCTGGGAGCAGAGGCCCTGGCCACGCGTTGGCTGACACAGCCCTGGAGCGGGACATGGCAGAGGGGCTGGGGAGGTCCCTGCCCCGACCTGGATGTCCAGGCGTGTGCACGGGCAGGTGACACCCTTGTTCTCCTCAACCTTCCACACCGTGTCCTCACCCCGAAGGCCTCATCAGCCTGCATGGAAGTGAGCCCGTTCTCCCGCTGGGCCCAGGAGCCGCAGGGCCAGGTCAATGCAAGAGAGGCCCCGCGAGTCCTCTGCAGGGCCGGGCACCCACAGCAGAGAGCTGAGAAGCAGGGGGATGGGATGATGTGGTCTAGATCGGAAGGGCAGAGACAGGCTGACTTCCGAGTTCCATTTGGACGCTTACAGAGTTCCGGGGCACGCGCGGTGCACAGCAGATCTGACGTGGGTCGGCTCGAGGGAAGCAGACTCAGAAGGTCCACACTGGCTCGGCCGCACACACACCGCCACCATGCGGGCTCTGCGCTGACCCCGCGTAACTGGCTCCAGAGAGGGCAGCGCCCCATCTCCAGCCCTCCGCCCCCAGTCCTATGCGGGCTGGGGACATACGAAATGTCCGGAAAACAGCTCTGCCAAAGCACATGTGACAAAGCCCAATCCGTTCTGCAAAGGGCCTTTGACGTGCACCCAGCAGTGGGCAGTCATGGCCATCCCGGGGGAGCAGCCATCCCCACAGGGCACAGACCCGCTCCCCTCCACATCCTGGGTGCCTGACCGATCTCCAGAACTCCCGAGCACCCACCACGGGCCAGGCACCCGGACCCCAGGGGGCCCCCAGCTGAGCTGTGCCTCAGTCACCCTGCTCTTCTCACTGCCCAAGCAGCCACACCTGGGCACAAGAACCACAGAGCCCCTTTCTTTGGCAAAGTCCCTCTTGTATTTGTCCTCTGACCTTGCTGTCCAGAGTCCTTTCCCAAGCACGTCCCTCCATAATTCATCCCCACACCACAGATGTATTACGTAAGGCCACAGCCAGGGGACAGTCCCAAAGCGAGAGGAAGAATGGCAGGACCTTGTCTGCAGGTCTTCAGCACCCCCCGTCCGGCGGCTGCCAACGCCGACCCCAAGCCCCGTCTCACCCCACATTTCTCCCCGCCCGGCTGGGTCTCACGAGACAGAGTCAGGAATTCTTCACCCCGTTCCCCATCGCAGGCTCCCGTTGTGGAGGTTGAGTCCTAAACACAAACCACATGTTCTACACACGTTAGGGGAATCTCAGGCGAGCCTCTGCCAGGGAGCCCGTGGGAGCACTCAGGCCGGAGTTGGTGGTGACGGCTGTGTCTCGTCCCTTAGACTCGAGGGCACATAAGGAGAGTGACCACACTCACTCGGGGTCAGGCCACCCACTGGCCCCACTCAGATGCAGGGACACAGTCCTCAGAGGAGCCCCTGTCCCTCTTGCTAGTGACACCCAGAGCAGAGGGACCAGCCATCTGAGAAGCTCGCCGCCCATGGGTGCAGGGAGATGACACACCAGCCCCAGCCACCACTGCTATGCAGACACGTGACACACCAGGACGCCGGGAATGAGGACTCACCGGCCTGCTCGGTGCCTCCTGAGGACAGGAACAAGCTGATGGAGACGCAGGCCACACTCAGGCTCTGGCTTCGTGCACCGGGCCACAGGGCCACGGCTCGAGGGCGCCGAGACTCCGGCCAGCCAGCGGGTCACACACTCTCCACGCTGCTCTCCTCCCACCAGCACACAGCACGCCAATGGCAGAGGGGACCAAAGGAAGGGCAGCCACGCCAGCTTGGTAGGTGGCAGGTGCCACAGGCAGGGAACTTAGGAACAAGGCTCTCTTGGGTGGCCTCAAGACGAATGGATCTCCACCATCGCCCTCCAGAACCTTCAGTGTAGACAGGCCCTAATGGGCTCAGTCACGTATTCAGTCCCGATGGTCCCCACAACACCTTACTCTCTCAAGGCCGCGTCCTTGAAAACAGCCTCTAGTGTGGGAAAGGTGGGCAGTCGTACATTCCAAGGACAAGGGAATGGGGTCAAGCTCGGGGTCAAGCTCAGGGTCAACTGGTGGTCACGTCCCCTCCTTGACCTGCTCCAACAGGCAGTAGCAACATCTTTTACCTTTTGCCTCCATTCACATGACCTTACTTTCCCCTCAGGCAAAAACAGCTCTTCTTGCAAAGAGAGGATGCACTCATCACACAAACGTGTAAGTGACCAGCAGTGTTGCATCAAGGGAGGAAAGCTCTAAGTGTGGAATTTCGTTTTCCTTCTGGCTAAGGTCAGGAGGGCTTCTCCCAGCCCTAATCCTGGCCACACAGGGAAGTGTTCTCTGACTCCAAAGGACACGTCGGGACGGTCAGCGGGCACAGGACCACTCTTCTGTGCCCTCGCAGCCAGCAGTGCGAGAAATCCTGGCCGAAGACCCAAATACAACATCTGCTCACCGATATTCTGACGAGTCTGGGGATATTTCTTATTTTTCTCACGTGAAAGCAAAGAGGATTCAGGTCAACAATTTCCTCTAGATAGGAGTACACTCTATGCAGACAGAAAAAAGACTAGAAGGATCACCAGTGATCAGGGGCAGTTGCCTTTGGTTGATTTTTGTTATTTTTCTAGATTTTTAAATTTGCTACATTGAGTTTATATCACTTTTATAAAGAAAAATAAACTTCTGAAATTTAATGATTACAGGGAAGATTTTATATGGCAACAAAAATTTTAGTGGCAATTTCAAAGTACAGAGAAACCGTAAGGCAGTATCTGACTGTAAAAAAAAAAAAAAAGACAATGAAACTGTGCTGGCTTTATTCTTGTCACTGGGGTTCCAGCTCAGGTTGTTTCTTGTGCCACGATGCTGACTCTGTGGAAACAAATTTGCCATATAAACAAACACCCTGGGCTGGAGATATGAGTTAATTAATTATGGGTTTGAGAAGATGTGACAGGAGCCTCTCAGAATGCTGTCAGCTCCCGGTGATAGACTATTTCTACACTTGCTCTTGGATGGAATCACCAGGTTCTGGGGTGGGGGCGGGTTTCCAGAACCTTCCAAGCACCCCCTCCACCTCCCCCCCACACACATACATGCATGCTCCATTCTCTCCCCCCACAGAGAACCATGGGGTACAGAGAGAATCAGGCCCCGGCTTTCTCTGCTTGCTAGGCTGGCATCTGACACAGTTTACAAAGCCCCAGATCTGTCCATTTTCCCTTTATTTCATCTCTTGTTTAGCTATCTGTTTTGAAGGGCCATTTATATGGAGCCCCAAGCTGGGTGTCCTCAACCCGTTCCTCCGTCTGCTCTCGTCCTTTCCACTCTGTCCAGACCCAGGGAAGCCGTGTCTGTAAATTCTGTCACCTGGTTCTCTTGCTGTTGGTTGATTCTTGCCAATGGGAGAGTTTGTAGAAAATTAGAGTTTTCCAGAAAAGAAAACGTCTGGAGCATTTATTTATTAAGCCAGGCTGTGGCTTTAGCAGCAGGTGCATTCCTCCACCGAAGACCCTGGTTTCAGGAGGGCAGCCCACACTGCTTACTCTGATGGCCTGCAGGCCTGGGCACAAAGGGTCCCCAGCACCACCAGCCCTGAGGGGGTTTCCCCATCGCTCCCCGGACCCTCAGCCCTGCCCACCTCTTTATAGAGAATTCTTTCCCTTAAACTTTGACTTACCCCTTGTGAAGGCGCCAGGTGTTTCATGTGGGACCCTGTCCTGTAAATGTGTGTAATACGTTAGAACAGCAATGCCGGAGCTATTTCTAATAATAAATATACAATATTGGGAGAGAATGCAAATCCTTTTCCTTGCAGAGGAGCCCCCTGCTCTCAACGGCCCCCTCTTGATCAGTGTAAATGTTAGTGCCCCTCTGCGGTGTCTTTCCTGTCCAGGACACCTTGAAAGCTTTCTCGGTGTGTGAAGGTGAGTGTGGTGCAGAAGGGGCCCCGGGACGACCTGGCACACGGGGAGGTGGTGGAGAAGACTGGGCTCCCCACGCCCTCCAGGCGACCTTCCCAACACCCGAGAGGCCTGGGTCTCCTCCGCCTCCACCTTTCATGTCCAGTCCCACCACAGTGAGGACCAGGCCCCGAGTCCAGCCAGCACTCCAGGCCACACAGAGAGTCGTGCCCCAAATTAACAAGGTGGGCCATTCTCCTTCCTCAGGTACTCGTCAGGGAGCACCCGTCATTTTCTGTGGAAACCATATTTTAGGGCTTCCCCAGGAACAGAACCTGGCTCGTTGGAGGGAAGGGACCGGGGGCTCTGATGGGGCCAGAGTGGCAGGAGCGGAAACCAGATGAGCTTTGCCTGCACTTCGGGTGGGAGGCAAGAGCACCGCGTCCCTGGAGGCCCTGGAGGCCTGGCCTGGGCCTCAGCGTGTCTGGAAGGGAGTTAGGACACGAGGCCCTTCACACAGCCAGTGGGAAAAACGATGGTTCTGAGAGGACTTGGGTTGCACGTGAGGCTAGGTCCTGAATATGGCTGATCTCCTTCCAAGGGCGGGTGAAAGACTTCAACTCAATTATCTTCTTTTTGTGAAGTCTGCTTGTGCCCAGGGTATAAGACAAAATGTTTTGTCCTTGTCAAAATAGAGCCACTTGTGTCTCTCTGAACGTCAAATGTTCTGGTGATGATTGTGTGGCTCATTGCTTCGAGGTGCTGTTTGTTCCACATCTCAGTTTTAAAGCTTTGGCCATCGGAAATCTAAGCATTAACTCTGCGGCTCCTCTTTGCCTGAGCGGTTCAGGGGAATGGATTCTGAAACTCAGATTTTCAACAGTAACCAATTCGGATAGCCTTCCCTTCTCAGAAATCCAATAAATTCTCAGATTAGGGGATTCAGTCATTGTTGAGGAGTCAATCAGACTGACCACCGTATTTCACCAAATCTAAGCTATTACAATAGAGATGTCCCAATTTCAAACATATTAAAATGTAGAAAGGTTCGTGTTGGAATCGATGAGACACAGCAGTAATAGCCCACGTAATTGAGAGCTTATCACGTGCTGACTGTGGCTCCAAGCACTTCAGACGTGTCAGCTCATTTCAACCCCGGCACAGCCCTGTGAGGGAGAGCTCATCATCTTCCCATTTCACAGAAGAGTAACGCCAGGCTCAGAGAGGCGAACGTGGCAGAGCCGGGATGTACCCAGGCAGGGGGACTCCAGGCTCTCACGCCCACTGTCCTCCCGTCAATTATTCCTGCTACCAACTCAAGGGACGTCCACTCTCTGTGGGCAGTGTTATGCATAAATTCCAGCATCTGGTTAACGTTCAACAAGGTCCAATTGTTTGCTAAATGAAACAAATACCATTTTAAAGACAAATAACCTTTAATGAGAACAGTACTTGCCAAGAGTTGAGTGAATACACCATAAAATTAAGAGAGATGCAGCCCCTGGGTTCTATAATCTGACTCATCTTCTGGAGAATTAGACAACTGGGAGACTACTGATTACTCTGTCTTTAGACCAGGGACAGAGGGTGGTTCCTGCTCAACCACCCCCCCATCAACCCCACCCCACTGAACAGTGACCAAGGGGACATGCCCACTCAGATTGGACCGCCATACCACATTAGGGACACCAAGACCTCAGAATTCCCTGCGTAGATGACACAAGCCCCCTTCCTGGGCCTGCATGGACCATTTCCCCAACTTGTCTTCCCAAAGAGGGATTAAGAGGTAGCTGCTTTTGGGTACAGATGCAGCTGGGATTCCAAGGGCAGGAATGGGGCTGTTGGCATTGGTTTTGTAGCCAATTTGCCTGAACCCACCAGGTTCCTGCACCAAGTCCCCAAAGGTGAGAAGTCTATGTTCAAACCAGGCCTTCAGGTTATCGTGAAGGCAATTTCACTGAGGTAGGAGGAAGAATCTACATTTGTTTGATTTATAACTGAAATATAGAGACATATGATAGGCGGGCCTCCATTCGTGTTCTCTCTGCGAGCCCACAAACACTCAGGAGAAGAACTCAACTGTGCAGGGTTTGGAGTTTGGCTGTCTGTGTGTTGGGTGTGTGTTCCTTGAAAATAAGAATGTAGGAGTTTAGATAGACCCGAGGAACCAGCACAAATAAGTCCTTTATTTTCAGCTGAAGGACACAAGACCCAGAGAAGTAGCTAGTGTCAGGAATGGAAAATGGGTCATTTCAAATAGTCAACAAATCCAAAAGAAGGGAAAATCAGACATTTATATGCAAAGGTAGCGAGCCACTTTTAAAGAATGAAAACAACCCAGGGTGAAGAGACGATCACGCTGCCAGAGCACACTGCACTGCATCTGTACTTAATGCTCAGTGTGGTTAATCATGGGCACTGTCGGGTTTTCCTTAGTTCGTTACTATTGTTTTAAATTGATGTTTTCAAATCTTTGCTTCAAATCTAAGGATAATAGCAAAAATGTTTTTAGCAGAACTCAACTATAATTATTTAAGTAAAACCAATTGGATAGATGATGCATGTTTAAAAATGTACTTTTAAGGGCCAGCCCGGTGGCGCAGTGTTTAAGTGTGCATGTTCTGCTTCTTGGCGGCCCTGGGTTCACCGGTTTGGATCCCGGGTGTGGACATGGCACCGCTTGGCAAAAGCCATGCTGTGGTAGGCGTCCCATGTATAAAGTAGAGGAAGATGGGCACTGATGCTAGCTCAGGGCCAGTCTTCCTCAGCAAAAAGAGGAGGATTGGCAGCAGTTAGCTCAGAGCTAATCTTCCTCAAAAAAAAAAAAAGGAAAATGTACTTTTATTATATGCTTTCTTTAAAATTAAAGATACCTGTAGTATAAGGCAATACTGAGAAAAGAATGAAAATTCCCTCTAGTAATAATTCCAACCATTGCCTCCAGAATAAGCTCATAAGTCCTTAAACATCAATTCTAAAGGATGCTCGAAACCATGACACAGGAAATAAATATCCTCCATGTTGGAAATACATGTTAGATATTTCTGGAATGATAAAAATCCCACCAACTGAAGGCTTTCTCCCAGGGGCCGGGCACTTTGATGTCACAATTATATCCTAAAACATTATTTTAACTTTTCAAAAAGAAAAGAAACGATATTTTGAGAATGTCTCCAATACCTTCCAGAGAATGCTCGAGTCATCTTTTTCACTTTTCGACCTAACATATACCTGACACGTGATAGATGGCGTTCTTCATCGTGGGCCCTAATGCCAAACTAAAACAGCGGTAAAACATATAATTGCATATTTTCAGGTTTGTCTGTCAGTAACCCGTAATTTTTCAGAAACAGCTGGAGGAAGATTCAGCCACAAGGTTTATCAAGTGTGTGCTTGGGATGAGAACACAATGTAAAGTGAGATTTGCCAGTCTTATATGTTGGCAGTGTACAAGAAGCCATCGTCTGTAAATAGGCTCTTAACTCTCGATAGCACGGGCAAAAGGAACTCTCCAATGTTGTGGCAGGCTTCGTACCGGATCTTTGAACTTTGGAAATGTTATTTGCATAGAGCGGTAGAAAACCGTTTAACCTAAGCCCTGAAGTTTCAGAGAGGAGAAGGTCAAGCAGTGCAGATTAAAACAGAAAAGAAAACAGCAACACTGTGATGCAATTTTTGACAGATAATCTGCATAATGTCCTTTGAAATTGTTGACATTGGCTGTTCGAGTTAAAAAAAACTGCCTATTTTGTATCCAATTTTTATAGCTAAGCTTTTTCTCATGTTCAAAAGTCATTGGTTTCAATCTACATTCTGATTCCCTAAAAAGTAAAAAATATGCATTCAAACATCCCTACTCCATCCCTGATATATTTCCTTGTCTTGTAGAAAACCCAGCCCAGCCAAGGTAACCACAAATCACTTGAGAATCAGGATTTAAAGGCTTAAGTGATGTTAATGGGAGGATACAGGTTCTGTAAAAATAAGTAATGAAAAGCCTTTTGACTTCATTTATGTCCACTTTAGCGTAAATTCACGTTTTCTGCCTTCTAGTTTAAAGGATGGGCTGCCCTAGTGTGAGGCCACATGAGTAGAATGAGATGAGTCACAATGGAAGATGTCAATGCTTTCCTATGTGGATTTTTACTCCTTTTTCTTTATTCCTCCTTTCTCCATCTTGATAGTCAATTTTACAGTTAAAACAAATCATCAGAGGAAACAAAGTCAGTCAGTCTCACAGCTGTCAGAAACCGCCACAATTTCATCCAGACAGGACAGCCTCACACACCAGGAGAAGCCCTTACTCAGATCCCTCGGGGCTGACCTAGGTGGCTCCAGGGTGCGATGGGATAGCCTCAGGTGAGCCACTGCCTGAGAGCCGTGGATGGGCTCCGAGCTGAGCTGGCCACGGCACAGGTCAGCCTCCCTCCCTCAGGAACCAGAGCAGCTGCTCCCACGCACTCGTGTCTGCAGCAGCTGGCCCCAAGCATGAGATGGGAGCCCGAGGAGGTGGCGGACACTCAGCCCTAATGGGCCCCTGGGATGGAGACCAAAGACTTGGCGCCACCATACAAGATGAGATGAATGCAATATTGTCATGATGTGTGGGCCTGGGAGGTTCTGGAGGAGTTGGCAGAATCTAGAGAAGGAGCCCCAAACAGCAGTTGGAGGAGTTATCAAGACAGGTTTCTGGGGCTTACCTGAGAAAGCTCTAGACTGAGATCCTGCCTTGTCAGTGTGTCTGCCCCTCTCCCCAATGCCTCTTGTGTCCCTAAGCCACTACTTCCACTCGCTTCCCTCACCCGTCCGCCATGGGAGACCGGAGTCTTTCAGAAGGAAAACATGTGCTCTTCTTCCAACAGAGGGATGCTCCTCTCTGAGCTGTGAGGCTGCCACGGGGGCCCAAGAAGGGAGGACGAGAGTCTGTCCTGGTTGCCAATCCAAGGCTGAGACCAGAGCAAAGGTGGGAGTGTGGGTGCAGGGCGCGTCTGGGAGTGGGGAGGGAGCTCAGTGGTCAGCAGACCCGGGGAGAGGGCATCTTTATATTCTCCCTCTCATTGGAAATTCTGTAGACAACACTACGTGTCCCTCTCCTCTGGGGGAAGATTTGCCTTCCACGGCAACACCGCCTTCGATTCCATTCAAAGGCCTGCTTAGGTGGAGTGTCCACCATGCTCCTAAATGTCACCATCTGTGCTCTGGGGCCAACGGGAGGGGCTGTGCTGTGACCAGCAGTGCGTGTGGAAGCCATCGCCTGGAACAGCTTATGCCATGACCTCACTTCACTACTGAGCGTGGAAGGCAGGAGAAAATGCACTTGGCCATCCAAAGCAGGGGACAATAGGTCTACCTTGCTCTTTTCTTTCTTAGATGCCTGAAGAGAAAAGCCGAGCACAAGACCAGAGTCCCAAGGACCAACGTTCTCCTTCCCAGACACCTGCCTGCCACCTGGGCTCCCCTCTGGGGCTTGTTGAGTCCCTATGACCACCCCCAGAAACGCTCACTCCTCCTCCATCTCACCACACGTCTCAGGTGAAAAGAATCGAAGCCACTGCACACCAAAACAGGAATCATTAAAAGGAGAACTTTTCATCAGACCACCGAATAGTTAAAATGAAGAAAACTCTAATTTTCAGGTTGAAAATGTGCGGTGACAACTGTCAATGGTTTCCGTAATAAATAAAGTCTATTTCTTCATCATTTCTTCCCCAGTGAAAATACTCCATGAACTTTTCTTTATAGTTTCCTTTACATGAAGTTGAAAGCTAATTCCTCGACAATTAGTACTCGTTTCTTTCACATCATTCAGCTTTAGCATAAGAATAAAGACACCACGCAATGCAGCTCTGTCAGTGGGAGAAAGTAAGAAGGAATTTGTCAGGGGTTTCCTGACAAAGTAAGTAAATGAAAGCCAAAAGAATCTTGGCATTTTTTTCCCCAAAATGAATGTGAAATAGATTTCAAAAATCAGAATTTATTAAGGTGCTCATGATATTGAAAATCACAGAAGACAAACAGCAACAGAGTAAAATATGTACAATTAGAATTCTCATTTTGAAAGACTTCAACGAAAGTAATACTTGCCAGAGTCGAAAACACATAGAGTATGTTAAGTAAAGCATAAAAACATACACTCGTGTAAACTAATTGGATAATGACAGATATTACCACAACTGTCAGCTTCCACTGTGCCTTTAAAAGTTCCTTTTGTTAAGCAGGCAATTTCATTGTTAAAATACCAAAATAACACAAAAATACCTGTTAGCCAGCATTAACCCTAGCACACATCCTTGCCATATCTGAGTGCAAAGAGACGCTCCTATTCTCTCACTTTCCGTTTTCTGTTTGTTTCCATGGGGTATGCTCACTGTTTATTGACCCAGCGTCTCTGGGACTGTCAAAGTTTGGTAGCTTAAACTGAACACCGTGATATTCTTTCCAGTTTCTTCGTTTTTCAGTTCTGAACCAAGGATGGAAGTCGCAGAGCCCTTAAGCTAAGCCACAAAAATACCCACTATTCCATAGGACCCTCACAAAAAAGGTCACCCAGACTGAAGCGACGAGAGGACATAAAGGACCATCGTCCGGGAAGCAATCAAAATCCAGCAAGAATGACATTATTCTGGCCCGTGCTAAGACTCCCCACGCCACCCTGCCCATTTCTCAGCATTCAAAAGATTTCCTCCTTTCTTTCTCTTCCTGTTTGTCCATTGAATGGCATTCAGAGCCAAGAGAATGGAACTTAAAAGGCAAGCCAAAATGATTCCCAAACAAACAGCTAGAACGTTCTATCAGAAGGAACCCAACAGGCGAGTTAACGCCGCATTATTCTTCCAGCTCTGTGTTAAATGGTGTCAGAAAATGACCTCAGAGGAGCATCCCCCTCACCTGACTGGCCCTGGCCCCTAGCTCTGGGTCCAGGAACAACACAGCTACTCTCACAATCCAACTTAAAGGTGAGGCTGGCGCATATGTTTGCAGTCATCGGAACATAACTTTCTACCAACTTGAGAGATAAAACAAAAGTCACTGTTGCCCAAGTAGCAACAGGGATGGATCCATAGGCAGCAATTCCAGCCCCACCTATGTGACTCCTGCCCAGGGTGCTCCCAAGCTGAGTTCAGCAAACACAGAACCACCAGAAGAAACCATCGTTCCGCCTGCAGGTCACCAAGTTTCCTGCACCCAAGTGCCACCAGGTCCTCAAGGCTCCCCGGGCTCCCTCAAAAGGACCTGCACCAGCTCGACGGCAGAGCGGCCCGTGGGCTCCACCTGTGATCCAGCTGGAAGTCACCACAGTTCAGACAACCAGACGTTCTCCCCTCCACACCCCCAGCACTCAGCAGAAAAGGCACAGCAAGTTGCATCCAACACTTCATCCCTCTCCCCACGGAGCCCAAGGACACCCCCTCCTCCTGCAGGGGAGACCCAGCAGCCTACCTCCCTTGCCTGGCGTCCAGCTGCCCATCCGTCCGGGACTCTGGGACGCTCCTGTCCTCGTGGCGCTGAGAGCCTGCTCCTGAGCGTGCCAACCGTCCTGTGGCAGCGGGCTGGGGCTCCGGCGGCCGCGGCAGCGATGAGCACAGCTTGAGACCATCCGCAATTAACCAAATATTGTGTGGCAGCAGCAAATCAACAAGGAAAACTGCACAAATCAAGCAAAGAACCATTTCAGGGGGATGCTGAAAGCCTAAGGCAGCGACCGCTGCATTTCTTCTTCAAGATCGCGCCAGCCAGCTCCTTCTGCTATTTTTACTGTACCATAATGCACTAGGTCTGGCTTTTACCCTATTGAAAGAACATGAATATATTATTATCCACACAAAAGAGCAGGTTATTGTTTATGAATTACCAGCCTTCCCAGCAACAAAGGCTATTTTCATAAGAAAACTCAATTTCATTTTAGCTCCAATTTGATTACCAGCTGAAGAAAAGAAGCTCTGAGCCTAACCCTCAAAGGATTTTTATTCATACCATTGAATGGGCTTTATTGCTTCCTTTTCAAAACTGACGTAGAAAGCTTTTAGAGTAAAACATTGACAAAAAATTATTGCGCTGCTATTTTGTGCAATAACAGAGCTGAAGAGGGCAATGATTTCTCAGCCATCCTTCACTGTACTTCAGAATAGCAAAGGCTGGAATTAATGACAGACCAGAGAGAGGAGGCAAGCTAAGGTCTCACAATGCACGTCAAATCTAAATGATCACTATACATTGAAAGCCCCCAAAAAAGCCCACAGCTGATTGATTCACAGCTTTCACAAGAAAGACAGGCTTGAAGAGTTTATTGCACCACAATTTACTCGGAATTATCATAAAAATGAACGTAGAGGCTGAATGTCACCCTGGCACGTTCCAAAAACACACATCCAGGGACAAAGTTCACGCAGGCGTTATCATTGCCTCTCACGCTCGTTCGTGCGGCCAGAGCTGAGGGCAGTTGGGGTGTGCATAATCGGGGCTTCACTTGCTGTTGACGTGTGGGGCCAGGCTTGACCTGGGCTCGTGGAGGACAATTTCCCCCCACACTGGACTATTTTTCCACCTTCACAATTTAAAGTGGGAAAAATCTGCAGCTGCAAACAGTGGCTGTCCCAGATGCTGGACCCACCTGCCTCCCACCTGGCCGGCGGGTCCCAGGGCTGCCCTGGAGGGCGTGTGTCTGTCGGCTTGTTTGTTTTCATTCCCCAAGGAAGCGATAAGTTTGCAAGGACTCAATTGCCCACAAGAACAGTTTGGGGGTAAATGTTTAAATGATACAGGTAGTTGTGCTAAAATGGCTTTCTCCGCATGCACGGTACTTCTCTTTTCACTAAAATTTGAGCAATAATGGCTAAGCTAGCAGGGTTGCCAGAGAAACCTGCACTTGATATTATGCAAATAGTGTAATAACTTGGCGTTCAGGTGCCCCAGCCAACAACCTGTTCACGTGGATGCCTCGGGCAAGATTGGGCCCCATCAGCCAGCCAAAACAGAAAGGATGCTCTTTGTAATCTATTTATTAGCTAATGGGCCAGTTCCTCTATTTGCCTATCTATATGGCACAGTTGGGATTTATAAGTGAAAAATGTGCAATCTTCTCAGTTTTACTGAGAAGGCAGCATTTATATTTAAAAAACAACAAATCAAAGACAGGCAGAACTATATCCCAATCAACCATTACATTTTTTAAAGGGTTTGAATTCAAATGTCAGATGCTGGTGTTTCCTCACTTCTCCGTTGGTCAGATGATCTCAGCTTCACTGGGAGTCATCAGGAAGATTTCCAGTTGTAATAAGTAAGTCCTTTTCAATGACTCCCCTCCGTCGTTGCTCCAGAACGGCCACTATTTTGTCAATGCTAGCACTGTAGGACAACAATGTCAAAGCTTAACATTCAAAAAGCCAAACTTGCACCAAGCATCCACAGGCTTACAGACATTGAAGTGTTCAGCACTGGGTTGATAAGAAAAAGCCAGATAACTAAGGCATGTTGCACCTTTCTTAGGGTTTCCTGGCATTCTGCACACACAGCCTGCCCATTAATAACATATAGTCGATTCTACAGTTGAATATTCAGGGAAGCTCTGTTCTATAAAGTCACCGTGAACACTGAATTGGCAAATACCGCCCATGGCCCCAGGGGAGACACAGGGTTCGGTTCCTACGAGCCTCTGGTCACAACATATTCATCAACAAATCAATTCATAACCTTGTTTTAAGCGTGTTTCTGTTTAAAGACACTTTAATTTATATTGTTGATTCATTAACATTGAATTCACGGCCAACAGCACACAACTCAGGCCTGAACGAAGCTTCTCTAACACACGTATTTTCTCTGTAAGGCCCATCACAGCCTCCTTGCGCTTAGGAACCCCAGACAGTGCATCAGCACTATGCTTGGGGGCCATTTTATACAACAAAATCACCCCAAAAAAGCACAAAAACTTGAAAAACATGGCACTGAGACTGTGAAAAGGACATGTGCTTCTGGTGCTACAACTGAAAGAAGAAGGGGAGGCATCATCTTGTTCCACCTCAGCCGGAAACACTCGAGATGGTTGACTCAAATTTTTTGCCGCACAGCGCATGTCCATGAGTGACCTGGAAACCTCCACAAGTATTGACCAGGGCTTACAAATTTCAGCAAGTAGGCGAATTTGCAGATACAGAATCCATGAACAATGAGGATCCACTTTATTCTTTTTCTCTTTTTTTTTTGACTTAAGGCCATTTGCTGTTGTGTCCAGGAAGCTGCTATGGATCGAACTGGATCCCCCCCAAAATGAATATATTGAAGGCTCTAACCCCCAGTGTGACTCTGTCTGGAGACAGGCCCTTTAGGAGCCAATGAAGGTTAAATGAGGTCGCAAGGGTGGGGTCCTTCTCTCTGCATGAATGCACAGAGGGAAGGCCACGTGAGGACACAGCGAGAAGACAGCTGTCTGCAAGCCAAGGAGAGAGTCCTCACTGAACTCCAACCCTGCCGGCACCTGGATCTTGGACTTCCAGCCTCCAGACCTATACGAGATAAATGTCTGCTGTTCAAGCCGCCTGTCTATGGTATTTTGCTACGGCAGCCTGAGCTGACTCAGAAAAGCAAAAGGTGGAACCGAGGTGTGGCAGCATCAATCAACCAATGAGCACTAGTTGAACTACTATTTATCAACCGGCATCTGTGGGAGCAGGACAGCACTGATTGGAGGGTTACAGGGAGACGTGCACCATGCCTTGGGGAACAGTGGACAGCGTATGGAGGAAACGTGACACTAGAGGCTGGTGACCAGTTCCCCAGGTCAGCGGATAGATCTGGCCAGAGCAGGGAGCCAGGACACAAAGCTGCAGGAGTCACCCAGAACCAGCCAGCAGGGCCCGAGTACCCACTCTACAGAGGGGCAATTTCTCCAACTGTGGGTCTAGGACCCCTGACATGACAATCACCTGGGAGTTTATGAGAAATAGAAGTTCACGGGTCCCCCTTATTGCAGGGCCCTGGGAATCTGCTTTTCTAACTCACCACCCCAGGTGACTCCTAGTCCTTCTTAAGTTAAGAAAACGGGGCTATCAGTTGAGTAGACAAGAGCCAACTCACCTAGAGAAGCTGACCAATATCGACGAACCCACTGTGCACGACAGGTAGTCTACAGGGTCTTGAAATGACCCCCCCCCCCCCCCCCCCCCCGCCAGCAGCTGCTGCTCATCTCTCTGCTGGAGATGGTGACCCAGGCCCACCAGCGCCTGCAGACTCTCAGCCCGGTAACCACGCTCGTCTCAGGAAAGGGCCCTCAGGTGTGCTTGTTGAAGGCTTGACTGCGTAGTAAGGGTGTGCTCAGCCTTTAACAAGTCTTAACTTCGAGGGGTAAGGGAATGCACAAAATAGATGGGAAACACTCTCTCTCATCAATGACTTTACGCTCAAAATACAAACAAAGGGAACATTGAAAATGGAAGAAAACTTTTTTCCAAGTTTTGTTTAGAAAGCTGAAAAAGATTCGATTTCATCATCAGACAGACCTGCAGTTTGCTTTTGGGCCAATTTGCTCAGCCTCTTCATTAAACTAAGAACTCAAGGACCAGAAGCTTCCCTCCCTTGTCTCTGGTTTTACACAGCCTGGCGCACAGTAGGTGCACAGTGAAGGGATTCAGATGGAGCACCCATAGACACACAGATCTGCAGGAGACCGAAGAAGAATAAAATCCTCAGTGTGACATCATATGTTGACCAAGGCCAAATACCAAGAATTAATATAATTAGGGAAGATGAACATGAATTCAAATATTCTGAGTTTGTTTACCTAAAAAACAGATAAAGAGAGATCTTTAAAATTGTGAGGTCCCTCTTACATTTTCAAACAATGTAGAACTTCTTTCAGGCACACTGAGTTGGCGTTCTCCCTCCGTCCTCATCATCCATACACATACAAACCCCCGTTCAACCGAAAACTTTTGCCAGACTTCTAGAATTTGGACACACAGAAACAGAAGCGCTGACTGACAAGACAACGCCTTACCCTGAAAGCAGTTCTCCAACAATTTGAAGTCAATAACCATTTAATTTTGGTTCCAGAAAGTCAAATTGGATCTTCGAGAGGTTCAGAATGTCCTACCAGTTCTTTTTCTTATGTCTCGTCCCTTCAAGCCAAGCCGAGTCCCCTGAAAATGAAACCTGTGCAGTAGATTGTAAGGAAGGAGGCTGAGGAAATGGAGTGGCCATAAGACCACAAGCAGTACAAGCCTCTGTGCGTCCACCCGCTGAGCAGCTCCAGCACCCCCACCGACAAGCAGGGGCGTGCACGAATGCCACGGCTGGGACCCGACGTGACAGATGTCCCCTCTCCCTCAGCCACCTCGGGAAGATCGTTTCTGTCAGCCTGATGGTTTCGAAGGAGACATTCAACAGTCACTGGACACTTAAGAAGCAGGTGAAACTGTCGTTAAACTTGCTGCTCACCCACTGCTCAAGAAGAAACTCCAAACGTTGCACCAGGATAAAACCGGCTTCAGTTTTTTATTTATTGTCCAGCTTTCATCCTATTCCACTTTATGTTTCAAAATTGTGATCTAGACGCTTCAAGTCTCTGATTTATTGCGTACTTTCCCCTTCCCTGGTCTTCTTTCTTCCCTCCTCCTCCAGTTATCAAAAGACAGGGAATCTGGCCTCAGGCAGTTGGCTCACAAGCTCTTACCACAAATACACGTCCGAAAATTAGGATCCAAATGGATATGAGCCACTTTAGCCTCTATTTCCACACACATACCAGTAAGAAAATGAGCTGGTCTCAACCCAGAGTATAAATTACCTCATTTAGGAAGTTTCAATTTACAATCCCTCTGGATTTTGACGAGAATCTTCAGAACTCGGTCCAGCATTGTTGCTCCAATGATGGGCGTTACGGGCTCCACGTGTCCTCAGACGGTACTTGCGAACAGGCGTGGCCTTCCAACGAAGAACAAAGGTGGGTGCACCTGGCACAGCCTGGAGGGAGGACCGTGCCCCTAAATGTGCACTGGGTCTGTCCGCATGCTACCTCCCCAGAACATGCATCCAAACACAGAGAGAGGCCCCTGAAGTCAGAAGGAAACATGTGCCCCTACTCTCTCCACCCCCCAGCCTCAGCCTTCCTGCTATGACGTAAAGTCTGGTGTGGCCTGTGGGGGTTGAGGGCAAGCACTGTGTTAATACGAGAACACACATGACTCTGGGGCTAGAAACACATAGTATTAGCCAGCCACAGAGCAGTCAGATTTTTACCCAGTATGTTCTAACAGCAATTCTCTGACACCAACAGGATGCCCTATAATTCAATCCAATCCTGAAACTAACTACCCAGGGTTAGCCTACACCCCACAGGTTAAGGGCTCAGTTCCACAAGACTGCCCCACTTCAGATGCCAGTTCCAAGTGCCAAGTCTCCAGACCACCAGCACTTCTGCCCAACCAGCTACAAATTTGGGGGGGGTCCCATAACCCCCTTCAGGTTCAGTAATCTGCCAGAACAACTCGTAGAACTCAGAAAAACACTATATTTAGTATAACAGCCTTTTTATAAAGGATACAAACGAAGAGCCAAATGAAGAGACACCCAAGGTGGCAGGGTCAGGGGCAGAGGGTGGGCACAGAGCATCCAGGTCCTCTGCAGGCATGCAACCCTCCAAACCCAGAGCTGGAGTTAGCACCAAGTACTCACAGAATGGTAATCTCCATCAGTTTATAGGGTGAGCCCTATGGTGTATTAGTCAAGGTCTTTCTGAACCAACAGGATGTAGATATAGAGAGATTTGTCATAAGGGATGAGCTCACACAATCATGGAGCCTGAGAAGTCCCACCATCTGCCCTCTGCAGGCTGGAGACCCAGGAAGGCAGTGGAGAGCCGAGAGCCACTGGTGCCGATGCCGGTCTGGGTCTGACGCCCGAGGACCAGGAGTGCTGAGGGCAGCAGAAGTTGGATGTCCAGGTGCAAGAGTCAGGCAGAGAGAGAATTCAACCTGCCTCCTCCTTCTTGCTATCCTTCTATCTTGCTCTGCCCAGTCCCTCCGTGGACTGGAGGCCGCTCTACTCATCTACCGATTCAAACGCTAGTCTCATCCAGAAACACCCTCACAGACACACCCAGAATATGGTGGATGTCTGGGACTCCCCCCCCGCCCCCGGCCCCGGGCGCCCCTGGTTGACATTCCATACGTGCACTATAAGCGTATCCCCCGTCTCACCTCATTACTCCTCACGCCACCCTGCGGGGTAGGTGCCACCGTTCACAGGTAAGGGTCTAGGTATAGAGGGTTAGCTATGCAGCTGAGAAGTGGCTGCCGTGGGGTTCCACACAGAGCCACCCCACAACCTGCTGGAGTTCAGGCTGGTCTGGAAATTCCTCGGGGAGTCAGCTCCGCTTCCCCAGTCCACCGGCCCCACAGCCAAACTAACCGCGAAGAATTCCTTCGCTCTCCCCTCCTCTTTGGTGTCCACCATGGCCTTCTCCGCTGCCTGGGGACCAGCCACCGGGCGCGGAGGACCCGCAGCGCGCGCGGCGCCCGCACCTCCCAGTGTGAATGGCGCAGCGCCGCCCGGTTCGCGTCGCTCAGACGCCCGGGCCTCGCGGGACCCACACTCCGGGCGGACGGGTCGGTGGTGAGTTCAGCCTCCGTCCGGTGAGTGTGCGGACCCCGGGCCGCGGACCGGGCCGCCCGGCAGCACGCGCTCCCGCCGCCTGGGTCAGTGCGCGCCGCCTCTGAGCCGCGCAAACCACAGCCTCGGGGCCTCCGCGCATCGCCCCCGATTGTGCCGTGTGTGCCCGCGATCACCTCTCCGCCGTCCTCCCGGTGTGTGCCCCATAATCTTTCCAGGGTTTAGGGCCTGCACAGTCTGTGCCCGCCCCGCGCTGGGCGTTGTTGAGAGCTTGGCTGAGGGCGGAGGCCGGGGAGGAGGGGGCCACACAGAGTGCCCCGTGGGCCCTGCTGTGTAGACAGCCAGGCTGAGGGAGGAGCTGCCAAACCAGGAGGAAAGGGCATTTAATTAAGACGGAGGAGAGGAGGTCGTGATGGCCCAGGGGAGGGGAGCAGTCCGGGCAAGCCGAGGTCAGTAAGCTGTCCAGAGACATCCGCCAGCTTCAAGGGAAAGAGACACAGGCCAGCACCTCTGATTGTGGCGTCTGTTCCTGCTGCAGCACAGCGTCGTCTGCTTCAACTGTGAACACAGGCCCTGCTGGCCAGTCGCGATGGTGGGTAGGGGCAGAGGCATTGGGCCCCGACGTAACCGGCCCTGAGTCTGGCTCTGTGGCCTTTGCACATCCACAAGCCAGGTGTCCTCAACAGTGAAGGGATCTGCTGTGGTCCCTGACAGCACGCCACGTTTCCCGGAACCATGGGTGGAGTCCCAGGAAGGTTACTCAGCACCTTATCTACTCTTTCCCTTAGTTCAACCAGAGAACACGAGTGCAGCATCTACTCACCCTTGAGCCTGCCGCATGAAGAAGCAGTGTGTGGTCTGGACCATCAGCAGAACTAACTTCACCGTCCTCCAGAAATGCGGAACTCGGTGGGCATGCTGCTGTGACCACATCTTGGATACACCTGGCCAGGCAGGTGACATCTGAGTTCAGAATCTCCTTATATCTGAATACAAGTCCAATCTGAAAATGATCAGCTGGTACATAGAACAGCTATATTTTTACTAAGAAAAATATAAAGATAGAAAAGTTCTAGATAAGATACAAAAATCAGGGAAACAGAAGAGGTAAGGATTTGCAAGGAGAGAGACAAAGGGAAATAAAGGTCAGATATGAGAAAGCATGGTCGTGGGAAGGGAGATGGGAGATGCCGAGAGCTGAAGGCCCAGAGAGAGGTTAGGGAGCTCATGGGGCCACCCGGCCGAGGAGAGGGCTCAGAGGGGGGAGCACGCAGCGTTATGATGTCTTCACGGAGGGAGTACTTGTATGTTCCATCAAGCAGGGGAGGAGGCAGCACCCCAAAATGAAAACATCTTTTCTCTTACAGAAATTAAAATAGTACCCTAAAAGTCAAATCCCCCTTGTAAGCCAGGCTCACAATAAAAAAGCCGTGAGCTAGTGGTCAGCTAGTGTAGAAACAGCTGGAACAGTGTGTTGATGCCAAGTTCATTTTCATCACACACACATGCACGTGCGCACACACACACGCACGGCTTAGAAAAAAAGTACCAGAGTTGCTCCTGTGTGTCCGAATCACAGCAAGGAAATAAATATTACTGAAGGTTTTTGAACCAGAGGTGAAGCCATTAGTGAGAGTCAAATGGCAGGAGCACAAAGCCCCTTCACAATGGAAAGGAGTGGCTGTCAGCGGGAGGAATGTTCTGGAGAAGAAAGGGAAGAGAAAGGCGAAGCCACGCTTGGTTGACAAGAGGCCGTGGTGACTGATGGCCTGGAGCAGTGCGTTGTGGAGCGTCCTCGAGAACAGAGAAGATGCGGCTTCTGCAAAGGCCGCAGAGCAGAGTCAGAGCCGAGCACATCCTGCACGGCGCTCCACGGCGAGTCAGGCAAAACCAGCGTCCTGGCGCCGGGACGGTAGTCAAAGCTGAGTGAAGGACAGTCGAGCGATTAAAATGCATTTCACTGCTAATTCACCACCAACGAGTCGGCCGCCTTGTTGCACTGTCCATCCACCAACTGAGGCATCGAGGCCTGACCCCTGTTCAAGGTCAGGCTCCCTGCTGCACATTCAGTCAGTGGGCAGCAGTCCAGTGGCTACTCCACGAGCCCAGCACTGGATCCACGAGGTGTGGAAGCGCCGTCTGCATTTCACAGGTGAGCAGACGAGGGCTCGCGTGTGCACTCCCACGGCACAGTTCAGCTCAGGCCTCCAACCTCAGGCCCAACACGAGAGAGCTCCGAGGAAGCCCTGCCCTCCGCCCTCCTCGGGCCCCGCTGGATTTGGGGGCTTTCTCTAGAGCTTTGGTGACTGAATCCTTTGTCTCCCAAGTGGGGCACTTTAGAGAACATGGGGGTCTACTAAGAATCACACCTGGAGACAGGCGTGAACCAGGACTGGCCAGGGGGCAAGAGGAGTGGAGACCCCACCCACAGCCCAGCTGCATGGGCCCAAACAGACACAGGCGTTTCCTTCCCAGGCCCCTGCAAAGTGCTCAGCCCGTGAGCCCCTTGGTTTGTGGGTGAGAGTGTCCCCAGACGGGGAAGAGAGGGAGGCTTGGGAGGGAGCAGAGCTGAGGCCCGGCCCCAGCGTGGACACTGCCGGCCGCCACGCAGACAGCATCCCAGCCCAACACTCACTGCTGGCAGGGGTGACAATGAAAATACTTAACCATATGGCAAGGGCATCGACCAATCAAATAAAGGAGACATCGTGCCAAGACGGGGCTGCAGGCCCTGATCCGCTGGTTACTACCCCTCCAGGAGGTCCCAGGGGGAGCGGGGACAGAGGAGAGGGGCCTCAGGAGGCCCAGAGTGTCTATGACCAACCATTGCAGGAGCATGTCAATATTCTAACCAGTACAGCGCCCTCACTCACTGCGCTGGGATAAACCAGGAAAACACAGAGAGTCCTAAGGATCCATTTTTGCTGCGTAACAAACCAGCCCAAACTTGGTGGCTTACATAATAGCTATTGATTTAGATTATGGTCTGTGGATCGGCCATCTGAGCAGGGCTCAGCTGGGTGGGCCAGCTTGTCTCAGAGGGGCTCCGTCACACATCTGTGGTCGGTCGTCATCAGCTGGCACGGCTCCTGCACGTTGGCCGGCTGGCGGCTGGGTGCGAGGCGGCTGGGCCCCGTCGACAGCCCCCAGCGGGTGAGCCTGGGCGTGTTCACAGGGTGGAAGCTCTTCCTGGAGGGGGAGGAAGCTGCAAGACCTCTCGAGGCCTGCACACAGGACTGGGACGCGGACAATCCTACTGCGGTCTATTCGCCACAGCAAAGCACAGGGTCAGCCCAAGTGCGTGGGATGGAGAAACAGACCCAGGTTCTGGTGGGAGGGGTGTTGTGGAGGGAAGAGAAGAGCCATTTTGCGATCTACCACAAAGTGCTGTAAACAGGTGCTGCCCCACAGCCTCCAGACTTAGCAGGGCCCCGGAGGATGGCGGGCAGGGCCTGACTGGAGAGCTATTCAGTTTTCAATTTAAAACGTCGGAGGGAGCTGAGAAGAGGTGATCCTTCCGGATGTGTTTGCCTGGAGACCGAGAACAAAAGCTTAGGCCGGTCGAGCCGATTTTTGTTTTGTGTATTTGTTTTTTCTTTTATTTATTTATGAAATCAGCGGAGTCCGGGAGTGATTTTCCTCTGTGTTTTCAAATAAGGTTTAAAAGGCTATGCCCTGGGCTGGGCATTTTCTTGGCAGAGCCGCTGCACACAGCTTCGCAGACTCTGAGGGAGGATGTATTTATGTTTGATGCAGTCACATTTGATGGGTGTTTGGGTGAGGGTTTTTAAATGGGAAAAAAAAGAACTGAGTGTACAAAAGATCAGAAAGGACGTGCATCGCAAAGGCTGAGAGAGGCACAAAGGATGCACGGAGTCCACATTTATTCCTCAAGTGCATTAAGCCCATTATGGCAAAAGGAAGGGATTTTATTGCTTTCTATCCAACCTAATGACACCAGAAACCCTCAACAGTGGACAAAGCCATTTTCTTCCTTAGATAAAATAAAATTCTTCCATTGATCTGTTTTGCATTTAATCTGAATAAATCAGATATTTTAAAATGCATTTCGTGTGATGAAAGATTCACCATTTTATGCAGAAAAAATTTGAGGGCAGCTGGGATCCTGTTGGCACGCCAGGGAAGGGGTCCTTGTTAGTGTCTGAATGCCTCCCAGCTGACAGGCACGGCGCCTCCAGACTGCAGAGCAGAATGCCAGAGACCAGAGCGGTCCCAGGAGGCCCAGAAAATGCACCTGCTGGGGTCGTGTGCAGGTGTGACAGGATGTGCTCTCCTGCCCATCGCTGCTCTGCCCACTTTCCTAGGATGACCTCAGACTTAGGATACGTGACCAGCGCGAAGAACACCATGACAGTTCACTTAAGCAAAATGTCCCCGAGCGGCGTCTGCTTTTCCTTTAGTTTGGTTCCATGAGGTGATCCTAAAGTTCTCTCTGGGCTGGGTATGTGTCAACATACAGTGTTCTGCCTGGAAACGGAGGCTCAGCGCTCAGGGAGCTCCCAGCAGCCCGGCCCCACTGAGCCCACACTCCAGGAAGGGATGCTGCCCCAGACCAGCACCCCGCAATCTGAGTGACTGGGTTATCCACCTTGGCCAACAACAAGGATTTAGTGCAGAGGTAGTCGTCTTACGTCTCTGGGCCACGTTGATAAGATGAGGAGCAAGCAAGGAACCCTCTCCCAATCCCACTGCTCCAGGATTTTTCTCCCTGGGACCCTGACGCCCATGCTGACCATCTTCTTGTGAAGTTATTAGACACAGCGAAACGCTTCAGCTCTCACAGGGTCTGTCTAAGACTCCAGGGCTGAGAGGATTCGTGGACCTGGTCATATCCTGCACCCTCTCCCATCTCGGGTGGATAAACTGAGGCTCAGAGGGGTGACATGACCTGGTAACCTGGCCCAATTCCTCAGACACGAGCTTGGGAGAGTCTGGCTGATGGCTGTTACTATACACCAGACCCCTTGCCCCAGCCTGCACGGGGCTGGGTGCCTCGATGGGCTTAGTCTTGGCTGTTTCTACTCTGGGAATTCTATTGAGATTTATGAAGATTCCCGCAGGGTGATTGCCCACTCAGAGAGCCATC